ACCCCCCAATCTTCACAGGTGGTAAGTACTGTTTTTGTTAAACTCTGGATTCAATTATGTATTCTAGGTCACAAGGCAGGATATATATCTTATGGTAGATTTTAGTCAAAAAGGCCACTGCTTTACAACTCCTTCTTCACACAGTAGCTGAAGTGATCTTTCTGAGAAACCAATCAGAGTCCTTTTTTCAGACCTTGGTGATAATTTTCCATCCCAATGTAATAAAATCCAAAGCCATCACTGAGGTTTACAAGGACTAAATTAACTGGCTTATCTCTCTCTCTCTCTCTCTCTCTCTCTCTCTCTTTCTCCTATTTAACTTGGTCCAAGCTTTGAATGTTTTATGTCACATGTACAAGCCAAGATTTCCCTGTGTGTCTTCTACCACCCTCTTAGATATCCATAGACCTTGCTTCCTCATTTCAGTCAGGTTTCTCTTTACACCGTGCCTCTTTTATAGGGTTCTTGTAACCTTCTGTTCAACATAGTCTTCCATAAACCCAATCTCTTTTTATCCTTTTACCCTTCTTTATTTTTTCCTCATTGCATTTAGCCCTATGTCTAGAGGATGCCTGTTAGCATCTAAATCTGTTTCCACACTTAAAAAATTCCCTACTTTATAAATTTAGGTATGATGCTGAGTGTTAGGAACCAAAAGCCACAAGGTCACTGTGGCTTAGCAGCATTCTGACAAGGTCGGAATCTCAGGTGCACCATGTCTATATCATGGTGGGAAGGAACGCTAAATAGTTTCCCTTGATTAAAAAGAAGTTTATACTTAGTCAAGGACACTAGCAGTAAGAATGCAGGGTGGCAAAAACAGAAAGGTTGTAACTAGGCCAGAGTGTTTTTGATGTTTAAGTCTCTTCCTCTTTTGTATAAAGTTGGCTGAGAAAAATAAAATTTTGCCAGTTGGTCAATCAGCCTTCTAGCCCTCTCGATATGTGTCATGTCTGTTCATTCCTTCCCTGAGCCCTTTTGGGTCTAGGACCTCTGCGATCCTGGCAGCTGAGATTTGTTCTTAGTGTAGATGTTGGAAAGATACTCACTTTCCCAGCTTCCCTTGCAGTTTGGATGGGGTCATGTGAGCCTGGCTCTACCAATCAGTTGAATGCATGCTAAACTTGGCATTGGGAGCTAGTGATGCAGGACTGTGCCATATACAACCTGATAAGGGATGCCACCAGGCAGGGTTCATTGTAAAGCTTCCTCAGTAGTTCTCATGACAAGAAATTAACCTGTCTGATAACATACATGTCTGCTAAAAAAAAAAGCCTATGTTCTGGACATTCTTTGCTGTTGTATAAACTTGGTTGGGGTATGCAAACCCGAAAGATTTTCTGCCTACATTTTTATTTGCAGGCAGTTCTTTTGTATCCCTATTAAGTTTGTATAAATATTTATGCAGACCCAGGTTCACAAAAGCACAGTTATGATTATATCATATTTATTGAATTATATTTTCAATCAGATCTGTTTGTGAATATGGATTGTTTCATTTATAGGTATTTTAAATTTGCTTTAATTTCAGTAGATGGCTTGACCTTTCTTTTTCTTCAGACTGATGGGCAAAAACATGAAGAAAGGATATTGAACAGACATAGGTTGGTTTTGCTCTATTAATCTTTTACAAATTATGTTTGTACTGAGAAAGCGACCCAGTAGAAAGCTGATATAATTTTTAAAAAGGAAAAATTTCTGTGTTAGATATAGAAAGTGACAAAATTATGCATAATTACCTATGCAATTACACTTGCACATGCTTGAAGATTTTTAGTCAGGAATGCTTAATAATATTTGCATGGTTAAATGAGACAGCAGAAACAACTGGAAGGGCCTCAAGGCATGGTCATCTATTTAAGCATCCACTTGCATTTTCAACATAATTAGTCATATAATTGTGTGCCTAAACTTAGTGGATTCATGTAGGTAATTATAAATTATTGAAAAGTAGTGCTTGTAATGCTTTGCTCTCTACTTCCTGTCAATCAAATTACTGAGGACTACAGTACAGTCACATTGTATCATGTAAGTTCTCAAATAAGAGTACAGTGGAAAGCCCTGGTTGAAGGTGAGTGAATGATGAACAAGTGACTTCGTTCAGATGAGAGCTAGCAAATGTAGCTATTTGGATACTATATTTTTAGGGAGTTTTCTCATGATCAGATCATAGCACCAGTTAGCTCATGTGTACCTACTAAGACTTTTTTGGAAAAAGCACCAATCTTTTGCTAACATTGTGTGCAACACAACTCTTTTTTTATATTGTGATAAAAGGGAATTAATATAAAAAAGCTGGACATAATAGCTTCCTCTTGTAAAGTTTATCCTCTTTTATAACTCTGTTAGCAGGTGATGGTGAAAACTTGAGCCAGAAAGATCTGAATGGTATAAATTTTAACCTCAAGATTTTATGATGGCTATGTTCACCCAGTTCTCCTGGCTTTTCTTAACCAATTCTCTTCTTGACTGTTGAGTTTTGAAGCTTCATTTCATAACATTTTTATCCTAATTTCTGAAATTATAATATATGTAGTCTTGAAAACAATATATTCCTTCCCAGGAGCTTAGCATCTAAGGAGCAAGGCTAGAACACCTTTGAGAATGTTGAACTAACCTTCCTTTGCCAAGAGTGTAAAATGCACTTGATTAGCTGCTGATACAATGAAATGTGTAGTCTTAATGCAGAGAAGTCAGATTTATCTCATTAAAGGCTAAAATGAACAGTCCTTTTCCTCTTTTTTGGTACTTAATATATATTAAAAGTCAGAAAATGTGGTTCCTTAAAAGGCATAGTACTTAAATGAACAAACTAGTGTTTTCCCTATTGTTTTGATCAAGTCCAACCTTATTCACCAAAAGGGCATGATGAAAGGGCTCAGGATCTTTGCTAGAAAATTAGGATGAAATGAAAGGAAGGAAAAAAGTTCACAATACACTATAGTGGGGATGATGCCTATTGGTTAGTTCTTCTTATATTTATTTAGTTGTTGTAATAATTCAGAGGATTCAAAAGGAAACATGTTCAAGTATACACATTCAGAGATTTATTTCAGAAAAGTCAAGACACTGGCATTAAAAGTAAGAAATATACTTGTAGTTCTTCTCATTTGAATTTTGCCCCATCTTTCCCAAATAGAGCACTTTGTGTTCAACACCAAGAGGCAGGCATTATCCATGAGAAGTGAAATATATACCCAGGGATTATTATTTGAGTCAGTGTCATTTATAAGACATCATAAGTAATTTCCCAAACAATATTCATGGTGAAGAAATTTTACTTTTGTAGTAATTATACTATAGAATGTAGATAATAGAACATTCACTCTTGTCTGGGAGTTAAACATAGGAGGACAGAATAAGAGAATTTAAAGAAAAGTCAATAATTCTGGGGCCAGCACATAATTTTCTAAAAAAACCTCCAAATTCAAAAAGTTTATAAAGAATTAGAAGCCAACAAGGCCTTCAATGTGTTCATGCTTTAAATATCAGTGACATGTCACTTTTTTTTTTTAGAGGAAATTTTATAAATCAATAATGAGAAAATTGTCCTAACAGAGCCTTACCAAAGAAAGATAAATACACATAGGAGAAGATTTTTTTTTTAGCTCCCAAATTATAGTAGTGGTCCAAAGCATTTAGCAATATCAGTACAGTGTGTGAGTCTATGACCACACATAAAAGGACACAGCTAGGAGGAGAGGACAGACCCCTTATGGGGAGTGAGACAGAAAAGGTTGACAACTGTGTTCTTCCGAAACTTTAAACCCTGGTCTTTTACTAACAAACTGCAGCATTTACTTTGGTTTTACTATGGTTTAACCAATGAACAAACTCTCCGTAATTTAATTGCAAATTAGCAATTAAAGAATAGAGAGAAATGAACCAAGCCTTGTATGCACATATGAATAATAAAAGAAGAAAAAAAGAATAGAGAAACCTAATGACATGTTTCTTAGAAGTGGTGAGTTCAGTGTGCTTTGGAAAGTTAAGACTGGTAATACCAACAGCTACCAAGAACTGTGAGCAGAATCTAAAAGAAGTAGTTTTGTTTGAGCAATCAAGAATTCTCTTTTATTGAACCAAGGCAGCAGATAGAGAGAGAGATTCTCAGAGGGAAGAAAAAAAGGAAAAAGAAAAAAAAAAGATCTTTCAACCCCGAGGGATCTAGACTGCATTATTATTTCCCAATGAAGTAAGTATTAGCTTCAGAAGAAATACTTTATTCTTTAGGAAGTAACTTGTCATTTGTATAGAGGAAAATAGATGAAGGTGGGGTGAACTGTATTTGAATGTGGAAATTTGAACTTTAGGCTCAAATTTTTTTTGTCCTTTTTCTTTTAAAAATTGGTTACCATTAAGTACTAATTTGTCTTTTTCAGCATGATTTTCCTTTTGGAATTCCTTTGTTTTCTTATCAGTTGCAGGAATCACTGAATTCTCTAAGTTCTTTCTTGATATTTATGAGAAATATACTTATATAATCTGTTATGATTTAAATAATTAGCTTAGCAGAAAAGATGTGTAACTTTCATGACATATTTTTTGGACACTGGTACAGAGTATATGCAGAGCATATTTTCATGCTTTATAGCCCCTTTCCACATCAAAATTGTTTTCTGTGACTAGAAAACAAAGAATTTTAAAGGTCTCAGCTTCTGAAAAAAAAAAAAAAAAACCAACACAGGCCAATAAACACGAACTTTGTGAACTGTCCTACAGAGAAATGACTGTCCTATTTGTCACCTACAGTCTCCACTGCTGCTGCCTTGGGAGCCTCGTGAAGAACTCTGGAGCTTCTGTAGGGCTCTTAACAGGCTAAGGGAAGGTGTGGGAACAAAATACTCTGAAAATCCCATAAAAAAAAATAGCACATTCTGCAGATTTCAATGACTTTCCAGGGCAAATGTTCTCCATGTGGAGACTGAGTGACCCAGGCTACTGCCATCTTGTGACTCCTCCAAGATGGCTGCCCAAAGGAAGGGATCAGCAGAGCAGTCTCAGGTGGGCTGGCTGGGGCTGGAGCCCAGCAGTGACTTCGGCTTATGGCCCACTGGCTGACTGGTCACAGAACCCTGACAGTCGGAAGGGGTAGAGAATGTGTGAGGAAGAACCAGGTACTCATAGGTACTTGTAACTTGTACCTCCTCTAGCAACGGTTCCTGAAGCCTCTGAAATTATAAGCAGTAATTGTACATTTTTCTGAAGAGCAGAGAAAGACCTCAGTTTTCATTGGAAAATAATTTCTCATTTAAAAACTCTAATAACATTTTTTTTCCTTAAAAAAATGTAGATTGATATTGGAGAAAAGAAAGCTTTGAAATTCAGGACTGATTTACAGAAATTAAGTTTAAAGGCATGTGCCCAGATGTTGCAATACTGATCCATGTGTTGGCCTCATAATTCCTAATTATCTTGAGTGATTTCAATTACATACTATATTAAAACTGTTCTAAGTTCTACCTTAGGTAATCTTTTTCTAACAGTTAAACAAATCTTACTAGCTCTGAATAGGTTAAGGGACTTTCAGGTATTCAGTCAGTTAAATCACACAAATTTCTTCTTAACAACATTATTTTTTGGCAGTACTGGGATTTGAACTCAGGACCTCACACTTGTTAGGCAGCCACTCTACCACTTGAGCTATTCTTCCAGCCCTTAACAACATTTTTTGATTCTCTGAAGGAACAGATGTTCTCTCTCATTAGAATTAAGTTGAGAGGAAGGATAGGTAAGAGCACAGGGTATTTTTACGATTCAGAAAATCATATTTTGAAATATTGCCTATACCTTGAAATACTTAATAAACTTCTACCATAAAAAGTACAGAAATAATTCCACATTTCGAATTTTCCTGGCTTCCACAATAACCACTGTTACTCCTCACTGCGGGATAATGGTTAATATCACCTGGCATTTTATTTTTAAGAGTGGTGTTGAACTTCAAGTAACAAAACCCAGCTACGAATGGCTTCAGAAAAGGAAAAATTTGGGAGTTGGAGAGATATTGATCAAAGGACTCAAAAGGTCAGTTAGATCTCTTGAACAATATGGTGACAATATTTAATAATAATGTATTTTGAAAATCACTAAGAGAGTAGATTCTAAGTGTTCTCACCATAAAAAAAAAACATGTCTGAGATAATGCATGTGTTAATTAGCTCAACTGAGCCAGTCCACAATATATGTTTCAAAACATCAGGTGGTATAAAAATTTTCATCAGGAAAATTTTTGTCAACTAAAACTAATAAAATGAAATGAATAGGGATACTTATTGCCCATAGAAAGTGAAGGTAATTGTGGGGTTGGTTAATCTAGAATCCAGTGAAGTCATTAAGCATCTGAATTCCTTCTAAATATTTAGAATCATTCATTTTTTAAAATTTGTTTTAAGAATTCCTTTTGTTTTTTTTTTTCAGAATTTACCTTTGTTAGGGTTCCATGTAGAAATGGCTGATTCTAATTCTGGATTTAAAGATGTAGACCAGTAGCCAAAACAATTTCTCATAGCAAACAGCAAAGAAGCCACCAGAACCCATGAAGCTCACTCCAGAGCCTCCTCTGTGCAGAAGGCTGTGATGGTTTGGGACCAAAGTTTACCCAGGATAAAAACACATCACCTTTGCGAGCCAGACAAAATCTCTGCAGTCTGGGAGAAAGGAAAGCAAAGCACATCCCCTTTAAAGGAACTCAATAGCTTGGCAGTGAGAACATGGCTGCTAAAATGCCATTCCAACAGAGACTGATGTTGAGAGCACTGAAGACAGTCAGTCCATTTACCAAATGATGACAGCCCCCAAACCGGACGTTGTCTTGCCAGGCTGAAACTAAGATGCCACAACCGAACAGACTTCCACTTTGGTTTGTGTTGGTGATTGACTCCAGGGCCTTGTGAATGCTGTGTCCTGGCACTGAGCCACACCCCCACCTCACCCTTGAATTTTCATCTTATAAGTCCTATAATATGATGCAGTTGTCTTTGGTCAATTATTTTTTTAAGTAATTTTTTAAAGAGATATTTTATTTTTACTAACATTCTTCCTTCCTTCTTCCTTCCTTCCTTCCTTCCTTCCTTCCTTCCTTCCTTCCTTCCTCCTTCCTTCCCTCTCTCCCTCCTTCCTTCCCTCTCTCCCTCCTTCCTTTCCTCCCTCCCTCCTTCCTTCTTTCGTTCCTTCTCTCCTTCCCTCCCTCCCTCCCTCCTTCCCTCCCTCCCTCCCTCCACCTGGAACATATGGACTAGTGTTCTAATTCTTCTATTTCTTTGCTAATTTTATCATTTATATCATTTGGGGTCAGTTTCGTTTATTTCCTCCTCATGATGAGTCGTATTTTCCTGCTTCTTGGCATCTCTAGTTAATTTTGATTGCATACCAAATGTTTAGAATTTTACTTTGTTAGGCTACTAGATATTTTTTACTCCTATAAATATTCTGAGTTTTGTTCCTCTTAGGTAACTTACTCAAAAACAGTTTGATCCTTTTGATACTTGTTTTTCAGCTTTGTTAGGTGGGACCAAAGTTGCTTTTTATGGAGAGCTAACTTTTCCCACTACTGAAGCAGCCTTGTTATGTATCAGTCATCCTCCTGATGCCCTGTGCTGTACAAGGTTTCCCATTCTGAGTGGTGGAATGAAAGCTATTCCCAGCTGTGTGTAAGCAGAACTGGCGTGATGGTGCTGTTTGATCCTGTGGGTAGTACTTTTCCTGGATTTTGGTAGTTTCTTCACATGTACATGCACTCAGCTTAAGACTGCAGAATTTAGGTGCTCTCTCTGGGCAGCTCTGTCTTTTCTTGTACACTTTGTTGTGAACTCTGGTCACCTTGGCCTCCCTGAGCTCCCAAAACATCTTTCTCAACTCAGAGAGTCTGATAGGCTCTGCCTTGCTTCCCCTCCCTGTGGTGCCACCTGGGAACCTTCTTAAAGCAGAACTCTGGGACAGCTAGCTCGTTGTTTTCCCCTTCTCCAGGATTAGCATCCTATGCTGCCCTACTTACAATAGCTACAGAGTCATCTTATATCATTTGCTTTTTAAGTTGTTTAAAGTAGGAGGGTAAATCTTGACTCTGTTTACTTCATCTTGGCCAGAAGTAAGAGTTCCAACTGTTTCTTTTCACTGTGGTTACTTTTATCCAGACTTGAATCTAAAATGTATTACAAATAACATTTGTAATACAGGGCTTACTATAAAGTACTATAATAATTAGAAAGTACAACACATATAGGGAATCTTGACTAGAAGTCTAGAAAACTGGATCATACCTCTATTTTGCATTTCAGATTATTGTTGTATGACTGTATGTACCTGGGTCAGAGGATATTTGAAAGTACAAAATCTGAACCCATGGATTTCTTTGGGATCATGCAACTCAACAATTTCATGAGTCTATAACTCATAAAAGCTCAAGAAGATTTTAATTTCTTTTCAGAAGATGAAAGGAGGTAGGAATGGTATCAGATATAGGAGGCCAGAGGCAGCTACAAACTAATGTGCCTGGAGAAGGAATATAGCCAGTAGAGAGGCTGGTGTATTGAAGAATTGGGAGCCCAGAAACAGCATAGAAAAAGATGGGCTGAGGAAATTCTGAGAAGTGAGACATAAGGTTGAAAATAGGAGAATGAATTGAAAGCTTTCACATGAAATAATTCACGAAGTTTGGCAACCTCAACAGTATCACATAGGAAAAAGAAAAATTGTAGATGTTAGATGGCTAGAAATGTCTTTGTTATAAATTCTAGCAGAAGGATCAACTCCTTACACCCGGCACTTATATAGTTGCTTAAATAATAATACTAATAATAAATTCCTTTTTGTGGAAACCAATAGAACACCTATATTTGTGGGGTTAAAATCTTCATGAAAACACACATTGCACTCTGAATGGGTTGAAAAATACTGTATGTATTTACAAAGATATTGTACTTATTTTTCATTGAGGAGGTGTAGGCAGTTCCAGAGGCCTCAATAATGAGCAATTTTGAAATTCAGATAACAAACTAAATGGACTTAAACTGAAATCTTTTGCTGAAAATCACAACTTAATGAGTGCTCAATAGAAAGTCAGAATCCAGATCCCTGGGCTTGGGAGCAATGGCTCTCCTCAGTGATACCATGCTGTCAGGAGGGGATGCTTGATTCAGCCAGATGTTTCACTGCAATCTTCTTTGTCCACATTACAGTTTTGAATATGAGTCAGATTTGATGATGGTATGACACCTGCCTGGCTGACCTTTTGGCTAATTCCATAGCTTTCTCTCCTCATTACTAGAGTTCTGAGCATTCAGAAAGAAGTGGTTGATTATTAGAGCTTGATGATTCACTCAGGGATATGACTTTTTCATGTTCTTTACCTCCCCCCGCCCTTTTCTGGTTCTGGGCATCAAACCCAAGGCCTCATACATGCTAGACAAATCAGCTCACAAGTGCTGTACAACTGATCTACATCTTCAGCCCCCACATTCTTTAAAAGGATGAGTTTGTATATAAAAACTACAAGCAAAGAGCAGAGTAGGAAAAAATGGTTTGACATTAAACCCAGGGTGCAACATAAACCAAGGGGTTTTGAGATCAAGTAATGATTTTCATTGTTTTCTTTTAAGAATATTAAAGATTAGTAAAACTGAGGCTATGTGTTAGTCATTCAAATGAATGTTTGCATGCTATTTCATAGAAAGCAGTGGGTGTCTTTAAGCACTGCCCAGTCAGCATTTTCAATGATTCATATACTTAGGATTTGCATCTTTTTTTTTTCTCTGAGATAATTTTACATTTAGCTACAATAAGAAAGTGCATTAAAACCATTACTGATATAATTATTATCAATGGCATGGTTACCAGTGCTGGCACTTAAATGGCAATAATTACATGGCTAGGTTAACATTGCTATTAAGTTGAAAAAGAAAGGTTTTGTTTCTTCATTGCTATTCTATGTCTAGGTCTCTGATCTTCAAAAGGCAAGATGAATTAGCCTTTCTGCCAAAAAAAAAAAAAAAGGATATTTCTGCTTGAATGCAGAGATAATAGTTCCAGTAAGAAAAGTGAACTATGTTACAGAGAAATCAGCGGTGTTCCTAGGCCCTACGCCTTCAAGAGTCAACAAGTATCAGTTGCTTCAGGCTTGAATAATTCTATTGAAGTGCGATAAATTTGTATTTTTTTCCTGGATTCCTAAGTTTGGAGGAGAATCTATTCTTCTATTAATATTGGGAAGGGAAGAGGAGCATGAATCATTCCAACTGTATCTCAGCATTAGAGGAGTGAGAACACGCAAGTTTGCCCTCTGAGAGGCACAAAGCTGCCAGCAGTTTGCTGGCGAGTCTCTGTTCCATTTCATCTAGGGACCTGCTGCTCTCACTGCTCTATTCCCTCAGGGGGTCGGGTTCCTCTGCTTAAAAGAATATCGCCTGCTCTCTGAGCTAATGATTTGTTTTGGAGGATGAAGTCTCAGAGGTGACGATAACTGTACAGCTTTTATAATGTATCTTTCAGATCTTTGATCTGCTTTTTTTCTGAATACCTGGGACTCCTCCATAGCAAGATTAAAGATACCTCTTCATGGGAGAAAGGCAAAAATTGAAAACTTAAAAGTGGCTCAGATTTCCAAATAATAGTTTTGGATTTTTTCATTTTGTCAACATCGTGTTTGGTGAATATCGTCCTTCATGTAATAATTGGATGGTAATTCAAATACAGTGGGGGAACAGAGGCTTGCTAAGGAGGCATACATTTCATCTTAAAAAAGCAGTGAGTATAAACGGTATAATCCTTGTCTTGAACTCTAGTTAATTCCACAAATATTTATGCAGCACCTAGTAGATATCAAACATTAAGTCTTCTTTTGTAGGGAATATCAAGAATCAGGGCCGGGTTTTGAGAGACTCATATTCTGAATCTGGCAGCTAAGGCAATGACAGAGATGACCATGGTAGGTGGCAGAGCTGTGACAAAGGACCAATACTTGAAGAGAAATGAATGATACTCAATTCCGGAACAAGAGAAGAGAGCATATTGGAGTGGAGCAATTGGGGGAAGGTTTCAGCATTTACAGACCTTGCAGGATGGATGAGATTTCCCTAGGTGAAGCTGAGCCAAAGTAAGGTGAGGGCAGGGAAAGTCAATGTCAGGGGGGGAAGAGGAAAGGAAGAGAGGGACAGGAGTCAAGGGAAGGAAGTGGCTACAGAAAGTCAAGAGACTTTTACTTAACCAAAAACCAGTGAGGAGCCAATGAATAGTTTTAAGCAAACAAAGATAGATTAAGAGGTGTAGTTTAATACTTTTGAAGCATTTAAAAGAAGATTTTAGTATATTTTGAACTAAAAATATGTTAATATTGACAAGTGTGTTTGATAATATTCTACAAGTTTTATTTCCTTGTAGAATTATCCCATAAAACATTAATTAGTAGCATAAGAATCAACTTCTCCTTTGTACTTAAGTCTGAGGAATTATTATTTTTCATTTTTACAACAATGTAGCTTATCTGTAAATAGATTTCTAATCTGTGTGAAATGAATCTGTAAAGGGGCATGTTTTCATATCACTCTCAAGAATGTAATCTTCCTCCTCCATCAAACAAATAACTTAGTTTTAAATGTCTATAATATTTTGAAATGCATTTTTTGGTCTTATCCTTAAATCCTTTAGACCTTTCAAAAGACAGGGACATAAATTGTAAGAAGTATAGAAAAATAAATAGCTTTCTAGAATAAACAAAAGTAGGAGATTATCTAAAAGCCCAAAACAAAACTGCAGCAAATAGACCTTGATCTAGTCAGAAGACAGGATTTTTCTTTTTTTTTTTTCTTAAGAGAATCTTTTTCATAGCAACCATTGTAATGGTGAGATTTTATTCAAGATAAATTTGAAAATGTGAGTCAGCCCACTTATCCACTACTAAACCTTTATCAGCTGAAGTCATGAAATGTAGATCATTTTTCTTTGCTATTCTTCTAGCTATTCTGGGCAGAAAATTCAACAACCTAAGAAATAGGTGACTTATAACTACAGAACAAACTCCTGAATATATGACAAGACAATATCCTAGTGTAAGCAAATATCTAGCAGTGGTTAGTTAGTAACTGACTACAAGTATATATTTTGGGGCACCGAAACCTCAGAAATTCACCAAGCTGTCTACTTTTGAAGATGTCCTTTCATTTCTTCTTACTGTAATATCTTTGCACAACTGGAGCTCTCCTTATCTTGTAATTAGAGGACCAAGATGGGACTCTCACCTAAGAGAGTCAATAAAATCTGTTGAGTATTAGTCACTGTTTTATTCCATGGAGGATATATATATATATATATATATATATATATATATATATATATATATATACCACAGTCACCATTGCTTCCTGTTAATGACCCAAGGGGAGGATAGATGAGTCGAATCACAGAAGAGACATTCTGTCAGATATGATTCCACTTGAGTTATCCCAAATCTTTCATATATGTTGCATGAAAAAGTTTGATATGCAAACAAATAATTGTTTCAGCCAAAGGTCTGTCATGGGCATTCTGGGTTTGTTTTTGTTTGTTGGTTTGAGACAGTGTCTCTCTATGTGGCTCAGGCTGGTCTAAAATTCACAGTCATCCTGCCTCAGCCTACTGAGTGCTGAGATTACCACTCCCTCTGGCCTTGTTTGTTTGTTTGTTTTTAATATGCTAGAGTTCTTAGCTGGGGATTAGAAATGAACCAAGTTGACACACAAAGCTAGCCCTTACATCTCCTCTAGTTGCTTTTTTTTCTTTTTTTTTAAAAACAGACCCAAGTAAAAGCATGTGGGAAAGAGTAGAATTAAGAGAAATTGGTAACAAGTGTTTTCTGAATCAATATTCAGAAGTTAATAAAACTTAGGAAAATTAGCTACCATTAGTAAAGTAAGTGAGTAATATAGGTTAGATGTATCAAAACTTGCTTTTGTATGTATGTGGTATGGCAGTATTATAAAAATGCATAAGCTGGTTTTAGATTTCTTCCAACTCATCAGAACTATTTAAGATGACAGGAAAAAAATCAGCTCCAGAATGGTGACTCTTCAGGTGAGACAAATCATTCCCACTCTTTAATACTTCTCTTCAATGTCAAAGGTACAATATGGCATGAAGGTACAGTATGGCTGGGTACACACCCAGCTCTCATGTAGTAATGAATCAAAAAAAATAAAACTACCAACCAAGTTAAAATCACCAATGGTCAAATAAAACAATCCAGGAAAAATGACTTACCCATGAAGAATGATACAGAAACAAAGTGTTTTCAAACACTGAAGCCTTACCTAGCACCGGATCGAGTTCAAGTTGACGTCTTCTCTCCTTCCATGACAGCAGGCAGTCCAGGCTGTTGAGATCCGCAGATTCTATGTAATTGTTGATGGTGAGCATCATCTGGTGAGCTCTGGCTATGCCATAATGAACCTTTGTTTCCTCCATCAGAGGCACGTTCATTACGTCTACTATTGTGTCAAAAGCCTGCTGAAAGTATTCAGAAGCTTTGTTGTATTCCCCCTGAAAAGGTAAGAGTGATCATTTGAAAACTTTTTGTGTCACCATTTCATGTTCACTCACCTCCCCTTATCTCTTCATAGTGGCTCATCTTTGAGAAGAAAGTGATGGCAGGCCAGCCCGCTTGGAACAGACCGCTCTCCAGGGACAGTCATTACTCCCCATTCCATAGCTTGAAATTAATTTGGTCAGAAAGCTGCAGCTATTATGTTGAATGAGACGAAACTTAAGTCCTTTTGGATAAAAAGTGGTCATGTATTGACAGTTTCATATGGTTCAACCAAGTACACAGAGAGGAGTTTGGGAAAGAGATTTTGATAGAAATCTGTCACTTGTAACATGGGATTTACTTAATGAGATATTTGCAACTGTCTTTTGTTTTCAATCACAACAAGAAGTTATTTTTGACCAATTCATTTATCAGTGGCCATGAAGAGAACTGTATCTGTCTGCTGACTCGATTGTGGTCTTCTGTTTCTATTTTCACCTGCCATTCTTCACCTGAGAACATTAAGGTAACTGAGGCACTTAAAAAATATGATCTATAAACCAACACAAATAAAAGGGCCATTTACATATCTGTGTCTTGACTAACTTCACTGCAACATTTCTAACTGTCATGTTTTAAGATTTTAGTCAGGCACTGATGGCTCACACCTGTGATCTTAGCTATGTAGGAGGCTGAGATTGGGAGGATTGCAATTTGAGGCCAGCCCTGGCCCCCCAAAAAGTGAGACCCCCATCTCAACTAATAACTGGATGTAGTGACACACACACCTGTCAGCCCAAGCTATGCAGGAAGTTGAGATCTGGAGGATCACAGCTCCAGTTCCAGCCTGGCAAAAAAGTCTGTGAGACCCTATCTCCAAAATAAGCAGATCCAAAAGGGCTGGAGGAATGGCTTAAGTGGTAGAGCACCTGCCTAGCAAGCACAAAGCCCTGAATTCACACCCCAGTACCACCAAAAGAGAAAAAATATGAAGATTTTTTAAGGTGCTGTCTATGAATAGTATATCTTATGAAGCCTCAAGGTCAGTGGTAAGTCATTGTTATGTTGTTAGCCTTCGCAAGTCACCTATAAGGCAAATATTATTCTTATTGTACAGAAAATGAAATCAAGCCTCAGAAAAGATTGTCTTCCACCACCAGCAAATTTTCCAAAAAATCATCACTAAAAACTCTTCATTAGAGGATGAATATAGTGCAAATACTGTGTACACATTAATATAAATGAAAAAATGAGACCTGTTGAAACTACTCCAGGAATGGGGGGAGGGGAGACAAAGGAGAATGATGGAGGGGTGAATTCAGTATGATGGATTGTAAGAACTTTTGTAAATGCCACCCCCAGCACAACAATAAAAAAAAACAAATAAAAAGAAGGATATTCTTTCTAGGACTGAGCTATACTTGGAAAGACTCTAGGGAACAGATTTTCCTTCTTCACTGACCTTTAATCCATTGGGCTCCCTCTCCATCACCTTCTCCTCCATCCACACATCTGAACGAAGCATGCACGCTACCTAAACCAGTTCTACAGGAGCAGTATGTTCTAGAGTTCTATGGCACAGTGAGGCAGAGCTTAGTCTACATTTTACTGAATATCTAGGAGGCACTCAAAGACTCCAGACACAAAGTAGTGATAGGAGATCAGAACGCTAATTATCATGATTTGATCACACCGAACATAGGTATTGAATTATTGCATTGTAAATATGTACTATTAAAATAATAATGATTAATAAAAAGTATTACAAATAAATGTAAAAATGTAAAAAACATAGCTGAGGACTATTTTCCAAAGAAACTATTTTTACAACACAGAATGTTTTATGATGGATTAATTTTTTACTTTTTGATGGTACTGGGGTTTGAACTCAGGGCCTCATGCTTGCTGGGCAGGCGCTCTATCACTTGAGCCACTCCGCCAGCCTTTTGTTGTTGTTATTTTTCAGTAGGGTCTTGGGCTTTTGCCAGAGACCGGCTCAGACTGTGTTCCTCTTTCTTCTACCTCTCCCACAGTTGGATAACATGCATATCGCACCAGGCCTCTTACTAATTGACATGCAGGTCTTGCTAACTTTTCATCTGGATTGGCCAGGATCACAACCCTCCTGATCTCCAGCTTTTAAGTAGCTGGGATATAGGCGTGAGCCACAGCACCTGCTTTATACTGAAGTTTTAAGTCATCTTCTCACATTTTTTGAAGGAAATGGGCACAAAATATTGTAGAAACAGCCTTATACCATTTACCAATACAGGTAAAATGCATTTTCAACTCTATGACCCTCTGTACAATCATGGAGCTCAAAGTGTAGTTAGCTGATTGGATAAAGAAAGTTGCTAACAAGGTGAGGCAGGGGAGAAGCAAGACTTAGTGTCGGGTTACATACAGAAGCAGCACAGGCAACGCTGTACGTTATATGACCACAAGGACAGTCCAGGTGAACTGTTCATTTAAAATTTGTTAACAGAGTCCCTCAATATCAGCAATAAATATTCTTTGTTGAAGTCAACAATTCTTTCTTTTGTTAAAATTACAAAACAGAATTTACAAGAGAAAAAGATTACTTAATTAGGAAAAAATAAAACCATATCAAAGATATTTCTATGCCAATTAAGCAAAGTGTGATTGAGAAATTGCACAAATATTAAAGATAATGAAAATATAGTAGGTTGTCTTGATAGATTGCAAAGATATTGGGTAAAATACATGAAAACATAAGATCAGGCCCAACATTGCCTTTTTTTTTTTTGGGACTGGGATTTGAACTCAGGGTTTCATGCTTGCAAAGCAGATGCTCTATTGCTTGAGCCACATCTCCATACCTCTACCCCATTTGCTCTGGTTATTTTAGAGATGAGGTCCTATGAACTATTTCTCAGGTTGGACTCAAGCAATGATTCTCCCAATCTCAGCCTCTCAAGTAGCTAGGATTACAGGTGTGAGCCACCAGTACCCAGCTCAAACATGGCCTTCTTTCAGAAACAGAAATGTGGGTATCTAATTTTGTTCTAGTTATGCTTCTGAACATTAGTCTATTTATTGTTTTAGGTGACAGTTTGAATTAGAAAAAGTAAGGACCATAAATAAATGGACTTATATGTAAATTTCCAGGGCTATTTTATGTGTTATGTTAAAATGTACTCATTCACGCATCCATTCATTCCTTAGGCAGTCACTATGTGTGGGACCTCATGCCAGACAGTGACGATTCAGCATGAGTGGGTGAGCTTGCTATCAGTGAAAGTATTGCTGCACCTGAAACTGATTCAATCTTAGGCAACAAGCACTTTCCTCCCTAAAATAGAAGTGCTATGACTAGATAATTATTCTTTTCTGTAGACACACAACTGCCATAAAACTGCTATCAGGACACATTTCTCTAGCTCCAAACACTGCTCAGGAAATACAACATTAGTTCTCCTTAGGTGCAAGCATTTTTATACTTACTGTTTTGGAGTGAGCTTTAACTCTTAAAGAGTTTATACTTTCATCTCTTCTCCAAAAATTCTGTACAACTTTCCCAGTTAATGTCTGTTGTCAAGTAACTTTATTCTAGCAGAAAACTCAGAAGATTCCTGGTTAACTTAAATATAAGATTGAGGTAGGCAGTGAGTGTATTCGCTTTGTGAGAAGAGGACAATGTCATTTAATGATCACTCAGTGGTCAATTCCAAGGTAGGGTCTTAATGACATCATAGACCTTGAAACCAAGCTCGAGATATGACATTATAACACAGAATTCCATGCATTATTCTGATTCTTACCAAATCCTTCTTGATGTCTAAAAATGTCACTATCCAATGAGCAAGATCAAAATAAATGGGCATTTTCTCAGTAGTAAAGGACAAATCATTTCTTGTCTTTTTTTACAACTTAATGTTGGAACTACCATTCTTTTAACTTTGTGATTATTCCCTGATCTTATTAAGGATTGAGAAATCTCATAAAAAGTAAATACATGATTATCTCCCTTGGAACATTCTTGTTTGGCTACTTTATATTAATTGTAGTTTTTCAATCAATATTACATCAAAAGATCACATCCAGAGTCAGACAGGTGCCCCATCTTCCACGAATATACATGCATACAGGTTATTTTTAAGATGCTGGAGGAGTGGCTCAAGCAGTAGAGCACCTGCCTAGCAAGTGTGAAGCCCTTAAAGCCCTTAGTTCAAACCTCAGTACACCAAAAAAAAAAAGTGATAATTTTAATTTTAACCATACTATAGTCATCTAAATAAAGATTTATATTATATTTTTGTCTTATAATACTGCTTCTTGGAATTTACTGCTAAAAATATGATTATACCACATTGCATGAGAAAGATGGAAGTTGGAGGGCGGGCACGATGAAGGTGTTTGCAGAGGGCCCACCAGGTACAGGTAGATGAGTGAGGGGCAGCAACGTTAGATTTGCTTTGAAAGATTCAGGACAAGTTTTTTAAATACTAAAATATTGTACAAAAAATGAAACAGATGTTTGGAATTTCAAAAGTGAGAGAATACTATTGTTAAGTGAAATTGGTTACAAAAATGGTTCAATCAACTGATGTGTTTTTGCTCACCACTTCTGTGCCAGGTTCACGTACAGCCATCAGAATAAAGTAATTAACAAGGCAGATGTGGTCCCTGCTCTCATTAAGCTTACATTCCAGCCAAATTAAGTAATAATAACAAAAAGAATGCATCATAAACAAGAAAGCTACAAGATAAATGTGACATGGACTATTAAAATATAGTAATGATAGAGAGTAACATGGCGGTTACTTGTGATTGGGTCCCCAAGGGAGCATTTTGGATGCAGTAACAATTCACAGAGATCTGAATAGCAAGAAACTGGCAATACCACATTCAGATAGAAGAGAACTGCATGGAGACAGTTCCAGGGAAGGCACAAGTCCTAAGGTAGGAACTAGCTGGGTATGTTTGAAGAACCCCACAAAAGTCACTTTGGCTGTAGTGGAGTGGGTTAAAGAGAACAGTGGTTAGCAATGAAGTCAGATATGGGATGAGACCATCTCATATGTCAGGACAGGGTGAGGGTTTATCTGTATGTTCTAGATGAATGGGAAGTAATGGAAGTGTTTTAGGAAGAGAAAGAAGATCATTTGATTTACATTTAGAATATGGTTGATTTACTTTCTATACATGTATGAATATGGAACATTGAAACCTGTTGAAGTTATTTGAAGAAAGGGAGTGGGGTAGGAGGAAGAATAATTTAGGGGCTAAAACAAACCAGGGAACAATATATGTACATATGGAAATGTCACAATGAGCCCTACTGTATAACTATCATAGACTAGTAAAAAAAAGGATTACTTTGGCCTCTTGTGTGAGACTGGCTTGTGGCTGAGGGTATAGTAAGGAGGAGAGAAGCATCAAAGGACAATCACATTTTTGGCTTCAATAACGGATTGATTGGTAATGCTACCATTTATTAAATGGGAAAGACTGGAGAGGAGTGGTCAAGGGAAGAGAATAATGCAAAACTTGAGATGTCTAGTAGAAACTCAGGAGGAAGTGCTAAGTGAGCTGTTGGCTTTACAGAAATGCAGTGTGAAGAAGAGATCAGGATTGGAGATGCAACTGGTACAGGAACAAAATGTTTTGGTAAGCTGAGTTTAATTTTTAGGTAGGTTATATTTGAAGTGATCTAAGTGAATATGCCAAGTACCCAGTGGTTATACTTCTGGAGTTGAGGGAAGATCCAAGCTTGAGATGTCATTGTGTATTTAATATATCCTAGGAGCTCTACAGGTACCCTGTGTTTATTTTAAAATTTCTAATCCTTACATAGCTAGTTTTCAAGAAATCTTGTTATTGAAAGATGAGGAAACTGAGGCTCAAAGTATTAATTTGCCTAAAGTCTCAGTTAATTAATTAGTGGCTGAGTGCAGTTCTAATTCAAGTAGACAAAAACCCAAAGTAGTTCCTCCTTGCCTTGCTATTAGAACTTTTTCTTCTTCCTCCTCCTCTTAGGTATTATATACATCTCACAATGTAGCCAAGTTGGCCTTGAGTTTAGGATCCTTTTGCCTCAGCCTCCTAAGTGCTGCGATTACAGGCATGTGCCACCATGCACAGCGGATGTAACTTCCTTCTTGGAAAAGCTTAATATCTAGCGCTTATGGTCACATAACTGGAATGAAGGTATTTAATGCCGGCATCCATAAGCGCTGAAAAACAGAGGAGTAGAATCATTTGTTGTCAATGTTTTCCTGGGAAATGGCATTTTAATACTTGAAGGAAATTCAGGTTGTTACCAAGGCTCAAACAGAAAAGAAGGAAAAATGACTTATTCCTAATATCTCTATTTTGTTATGTCTAATAGCTTAAAACGATTCTCTTGTGGATTTACCAACTCAGAGTGACCCCAAGAAGTTATCAGTAGCTTTTTTTGTCTTAGAAATGCCCCCGAAGAGTAATATTGCACAAAAATTAAATGCAGCTTTAACAATTTGAGTAACAAATTATCAGTGGCCATTCATTACACGATTCAGTAAAGTATCCGAATCGACTTGAATATCCAAAGCATATATATTTGAAACTAACATGAACACCCAGAATCCTCCCAATTTATATCAGAATAGGGATAATTTGATAGACGTGAACTTGTGATAGTTGATAATCTCTGGATATTCAAGTCTTCCAGGAATCAGAAATCCAAGAATATAAAGTACACAGTGGTGAGATACAAACTCTTGGCAAAGATGCTAAGCAAACGTAGGTGTAATAATATCACCTTCCAAAAAGTTTCTTATTCCCCATATTTTCTGTAATTAGGAAAATAGGCTGATACTTTGTGCCCACAAAGGGCTGGAGTTTGGGTGGTGTTTGGTGCTAAGGTGAAATAATTTGTGGGTTTTTTGCACTTCCGTTTAGAAGAACAATCATTTTAAAAACTATGACTATCTTTTTATTAGGCAAGTCAATCCTGCTAGTGTGGGATGGAGGCCACAATTGGATGGGAAGTGTTACCAGGATGTAAGTCTTGCCTGTTTTTACCACTATATCCTACAAAGAGTAAACAAAGCAAATCCAAGATCAATGCAGCATAAGGTGTGTGTATGGATGGCTGGTTAACAGAGCAGAGAGCAGCACCTCAGAGAAGACTGGGAAGTGAAGGCAGTAGACAAAGCTCAGAAACCGAGGACAGAGGGAAACCCCGAGAACCACAGGAGTGACAGACAGGGAGGACACCAAGAAAGAGGAAACAAAGTGAGAGAAAGGAAAAGTGAACAATTCTTTCTTATGTTAAAATTATAAAACAGAGAAATAGCACAAATATTAAAGATAATGAAAATAGAGGTTATGCTGATAGATAGAAAAGATACTGGATAAAATACATGAAAAAATAATATTAGGCCAAACACTGCCTTTTCTTCCCTCCCCTGCTCCCCTGCCCGCTCCATAGGACTGGCATTTGAAATTCCATGCTTGCAAAACAGGTGTTGTAATGCTTGAGCCACATCTCCAGTCTATTTGCTCTGATTATTTTAGAGACGAGGCCTCGTGAACTATTTGCTTAGGTTGGACTCAAACCATGATCCTCTTAATCTCAGCCTCCCAACTAGCTAGCATTATAGGCGTGAGCCACCAGTACCCAGCTCAAATATTGCCTTCTTTAAGAAACAGAAATGTGAGTATCTAATTGTTGTTCTAGTTATTCTTCGAACTTTAGTCTACTTATTGTTTAAGGTGACAGTTTGAATTAGGAAAAGTAAGGACCATAAATAAATGGACATATATGTAAATTTCCTGGCCAAGAAGGAGGAGGCAGGACAGAGGGAGAAGTAAGAGGGAGAGAGAGACAAGAGAAAGGGAGCTTTAAGACTGTGAGTTAAGAAGAGAGGGCAGGCAAATGAAACAGGGGGAGTAAGAAAGAGCTGAGACACAAGACAGGGGGCACCTTGATTGCAAGAGCAGGAAAAAAAGAAATATCGTTTCATTCATTTAAATTAATTTCAAACTCATTGCCTTAAAACATCCTAAAAACATTCTGAAACAAAGTGAAATATGGTGAATGTGGTGCAAATACTGTGTACACATCTATGTAAATGGAAATATGAGACTGTTGAAACTGTTACAGAATGGAGGAAGGAGGGGAAAACAAAGAGAATGATGGAGGGAATGAATTCAACTATGACATATTGTTAGAACTTTTGTAAATGCCACAATTTACCCCCAGCACAACGATAAAAACAAAAACAAAAACAAACAAACCCAAAATACCCAGCATCTGTAACTAGAGAAACAAACCTCTTTCCTATGCTTGCTAAAGGAGACTGGGCAAAAAACAAAATGGGTAAAACTGGGAGAAAAGATGACAAAAGTCCACTATGACCAGTGCATTTTACTATTCATCCTGGTTTCTTGGAAATTGTTAAATTTCTATTCGAAATTTATTTCAGAATCACTCTTGAGATTGTCTTTTCTTCTCCTGGGGGGACTTAAGAGTGGGTGTCACAGCTGGATAACAAAACAAGAATTTGGAGCTAGAGAGATAGATATCAGGAGTAAAGAGACAGGAGCCAACCATTATCATGAAGTTCCTTTGAATTTAAATATTTTAATTGCCCTTCAAATCCAAAGTCACTCAGCATTCTGACTGGTTGTGAATAGATGACTCAGGATTAGTGACTCATGGGGACTGTGTCCAGACATCCCTAAAGGACTAAAAGAGGAGGAGCAAAGAGGTTTTGCTCTCCCAGTTCTTGCCTTGTGCATTCATTACAGCCTGCAGTCTGGACTGCTTTGAGTGATATATGGTGGGAAGGTGAGGATCAGATGAGAGTAGACTTTTAAAACTGCAAATTTCCCCAAACACAGGAGACATAGATACTCACTTTTTCATTATAGATGTCACCAAGCATTGTACTTGCTCTCACAATATCCAGGCTTTGAAAGTTATTTCTTGCAATTTTTACTACTTTTTCCAAGTATTTAATTGCCTCTATTGTCTCTCCTTGGCTAGAATAAATAAAATAGGAAACCATTGGAGTATCATCTCATTTGATGTCATGGTGGAAAGAAGGGATTTTGTGTCATGGCTCCAGAAAATGCAAGGTGGTTGAATGACTGTGCTGACAAAACTTGGTATATCCACACAATGGAATATTATTCAGTCATAAAAAGGAACAAAGTGCAGATAAATATTTTTAAAAGTCCAGATGAAACTTGAAAACATGCTAAGTGAAAGAAGCTAGACACAGAAGATCACTTATTGTATGATTTCGTTCACATGACATGTCCACAAAGACAAACTCAATGGAAAAAGAAAGTAGGTTAGTGGCTGCTATAGGCTGAGAGTGGGGAGTGAAGAGTGGTTGATGATTTGTGCAGAATTTCGTTTTAGGGAGTTGAAGAGGTCCTGAAATTAGATAATGGTCATGGTTACAGGTCAAAAAGATTGTGAAAGATGAATGCTAGTTTATTCTTACAAGCTTCCCTGAGCTGTGAAATGTAAAGTATCACTAAAGTCACACACACCAGTGTCACATTTGTTACAACTCTCTGAGAGGTATGTAATTTCCAGCAGAGTGCTTGGTGTACACTAGGCATTTACTTAGTTTTGGGACAAAGAATGGTTGAAAATTTGAGAAGGGAAACAATGAGGTACATGTGAAAGTTAGCACTAAGGTAAACTGTGAGCCCCTCAGCCATGTGGGCCTTTGGAGTTCCTAACCAAACTGATTTTCGACACCACAGAGAAGTTCTGTGAAACCAGCAAATGACCTAACATATGCTAGCTTCTGGGAACATGTTTCTTATGTTTGAAAAGTTTCGCTGTCATTTTGGTGAGATAAGTGTATAAATCCTTTGTATAAATACCATGAATTGTATTCAGTGCTTTGAAACCATTCATTGGACTATTTTCTTAAGAGCAAGTCTCGAGTTTAAAGAGTAAATTTAGTCTTTTAAGGTAGCTAAAAGGAATTAGGTTAATTAATTAATTAAGCCAGGTCTAGTGAATGCAATGATCTCAAAGCATTTAAACAAATTTGAAAAATCGTAATAGATGCCAAGGGAGACATCATTGAAGTTTGAACTTAGTGGGTTTATGGATTCATAGAAGGCAACTTCTTCCTGCCTCCTCCACCCTCACTAGGTGTTCAGTCCACAGGTTGGGGACCATCCCTTCTTTCTCCAAGTATTTTCTGCTCTCCAGTGTCCACTATTATAAGCTAGGCTCTGCTCTTTCTCTTCTGCCGTGCCTTTCATTTGTTTCTGGGTCTTTCATTGACATTAAGTTCTCTGCCCATTCAAGTTGGCTTTTTCCAGAGTTCTGCCAGAGCTCTGTTGTCCCCTCCAGAAAATGCTTACTCTGGGCAGTCAAATAGGCTACTGTGATGTGACCTATGGCTATATTGCAAATGTCTGTTTCTGGCCCTGATTGTACTTGGATCCCCCTTTCTAATTCCCGGGATGTTCTTCATATGCATAGGAACAATGACGGTCCCCTCCAAGAGGTTGTCTTCCAGGACAGCTAGCAATGGGGCTGATGGCATTTCTGGAATGCTTCATTAGGGAACTCCTTCAGATATACTATTTCAGTGTTCTTAAGTGATTTAGTGAATTTTGTCCAAAACTAGGATTACACCTGGACATTTTTTTCCCCTGTTTTCTAAAAGTGACTCCAAATTCTTTTGGCTGTTTCAAAAGACCAAATCTAACTCTCAGCCAATCATGTGCTGTTTTGGGAGATATTTAAAAGAAGATGGGCAGGACGCGGTGGCTGGAGCCTGTAATCTTCTGGGAGGAGGAGGGTGGGAGGATTTCAGTTTGAGATCAGCCTGGAAAAATGTTCTCGAGACCCCATCTCAACCAACAAAAGCTGGTCTTTGTAGCACACATCTGTCATTCCAGCTAAGTGAAATTGTGATGAAGGCCAGCATGGGCATAAAGTAAGACTTTGTTTGAAAAATAACCAATGCAAAAAGGTCTGGGAGTGAGACTCAAGTGGTAGAGCGCTTGCTCAGCAAGAGGGAGGCTCTGAGTTCAAACTCCAGTACCACCAAAAAAAAAAAAAAAAAAGAACAAAAAGAAAAAAAAACAGGACAATGTCAGAAAGCATTTCCACAGGAGTCCATTTTTAAACAGGTGGCAGGTTTAGGGGTGTTGGCTGGCATATCATCCCAAGATTTGGATGATAACTTTTTCATAAACCGTGGTGTGTTTATAACTAAGTTAAAATCACAGTGTGCTATGCAGGACCTTACCCTCAGCATTGCCTCTTTGGCTATGTTAACATAATGAAACTGGGGGAGACTTCTGTTTCCTCGTTATGTAGTGTGAATACTGGGTACACATGTGTAGAAGGGAGAATATGGTGGCAATACTGTGTACACATATATGTAAATGGAAAGTTGAAACTATTCCAAGAATGGGGGAGGAAGGATAAAGGAGAATGGTGGAGGGAGTGAATTCAAGTATGATATATTTGATATATTGTAAGAACTTTTGTAAATGCCACAGTACCCTACCCAACACAACAATAAAAAAAGAAAATTTTAAAAAATGAAATAAAATGACCACAAATTGCCATGAGATGAAAAATTGGCACATACTAATGATTCAACCAATGGAAGTTTGTCCTCGTCAGTGACATAAACAGCTGCCATATTCTCAGTTCTCTACCTGAAACCCTCTACAGAAGAAAGTTCAGCTGAGGCAAGCATTGCTTTGCGAAGACCTTTCACCCCACAATGAACTAGGTACTGTGATTTTAGTGACTGCTCTGCACAACGGACACAGAAAGTCCTGCTGTCTCTTTTCTAGTGACAGAATCAAAGAGCTAACACTTTTTGTTTACTTAAGTGTCAGGTGCCACCAAAGGCATTCTTTCTGATTGCTCTACATATTAGAAATAGAAAAGAATTTTGCAACTCCTGAAGTTATGAATACTGTTTTTATAATTCCATACTCACTTTTTATACTAAAGTTATGACTAATCTACCATCAGTTCACCAGAAAAATTGTGAATTATTCAGATGTTAGCATAGGGCAAAATATGAGGGGTTTACTAATTATTCTAATTTAAATATTTATTTTATAGAAAAACCGAGAGGTTAAAGTTATAAAATGTTAATAGATAAAATGTTTATGCTAATAAATAAAATATTAATAAATAAAAATACAATATAAAATGCAATAAAATTTCTAGGGCTAAAACTAAACGTGTTTTTTTTCAAAATCAAATTGATGTTAACTTTTCAAGATCTTTCCTGAACTGTAATATTTAAGAAAAATTTTTTTAAAAGGTTAAGACTTCTTTGCATATGACTTTGAAACCTTAGGGAAAATTCAGTATTAATATTATTTAGCTAAGATGGGCTCACTAAAGTTTATGTACCTTTTTGTCCCTAAAAGCTGATATATTTTGGGGTGGAAGTACATTTTGGTTTTTCTTTTTTTTTTTCAGTACTGGGGCTTGAACTCAGGGCCTCACGCTTGTTGGGTAGGTGCTCTACCACCTGAGCCACTCCACCAGCCCCGGAAGTACATTTTGGATTAGGTTTGTCTGTGGAGAATAGTTAAAGCAAGATATACACAAACAACAACAACACAGAAACAAGTTCAGTGAGCCAAAATACAAAATCGTATAACTACAACTCTTGCTGGGTGATTTGAGTCTCCCAACAGAAGGATCAACAGACTTTCTAAACATCCAGAATTATCTTGGACTTGCTCTAAAATAATGCTTGAGAAAAGTCTCTCTCTGCTACATCATATGCTCTGCTCAGTGACTGTACAGCCCTCTAACCTGAAAAGTCATTAATATAGCAAGTGAAATATAAACAATAGATGTTGGTTAAAGGGCTTGCAGATGTGGAAGTTAGCAATGGATTAAGAAGCTAGTCTGCCATGGGAAGAGGAGAAAAATCAAATATTTTCCCTACAGAAAGGCTACAGATAATTTGTATAAGTTCAAGGGCACAGTTAAAGTGTTAGACAAATGTTAATTCCAGTTTTCTATATGCAGTGCACAGGTGCACCTTGAGCAAAGCACATTATGTGTATAATCATTAAATTCATTCAACCAGACCTCAGAGAGTTAAAAACATATATATATTCTGAGGAACAGGACTTCTCGGTCCAAAGAATGAGAATGAAACAGTGCAGAATATTTGTGTATCAAGGTGATCCCAGTTTCCAACTGGGAAAACAGGACTGTTAACAAACCACGTCCCATGACAACTGTCCAATTATGTATATCACACTTGGCCTACTGTTTGCTGTAGAAGTAATCAATAAAGGATGTGGTTGAGTGAACATAGATTTTGGTTGAACCAATGCATGAAAACTTAATCATTTACTCAGAGAGAAGAACCAAATAGGGCAGAGATGAAACAGCCACTAAGGGCTTTGTTGATTGTGTCACCAAGTTTGTGGGCCACATATGAAAGTAATAAGGCAAATGGGACCAGTGACAGGAGGAAATGTAAAAAGCCCTTCTTAATTTCATGAATTAATAGAAATGTTTCCATGTATTTTGGGTCATTTTTTTAGGATATTTCACATAGAAGCCTGGATGTTCCATTTTAAAGAATATATGAAAATTACTAGGGCATGCCATTTCTCTCAAGCAAGAAGAAATTAATTTTCAGCTATAACAGAAAGGTAATTTTCACACTTGCAACTTTGTACTGATTGATTTAAAGATCTCCACGGTGGAAAGTTTTCTAGGAAATCATTTAACTGGAGTTTGCAAGAAAATGAGCAATTGGTTTGGAATAAACCCGGAGATGGGGTAGTAGAGACTAGTGTATCTCAAACACATTTTTGTGATTGTTTTCCTAGATTCTTTTAAGTAGTCATCCTGATTAAGCTGAACAGTTGTGGCATTTCAGGAAATGAACAAAAGAGCTATTTCAGTAAATGAGCATATATAGGTATAGTATGTACATATGTAGTTCACAAAGAAGATTGAGGCTTTTCCTTCTCTGTATTCACTTGAGCTGTCTGTCTGTATACTTATAATATTTACTTGGTAATTTCTCAACTCACTTTTTCTTTGTTTTATGAACCATAATTCTGGCTTTTAGAGTAGTGTCATAAGGCAATTTTAGAACATCAATTCTTTTTTTCCATTAGTTTTATAAGAAAGGGGGGGGAATTACATTGCCAATGGTTATTTTCTTTTATGCAATTTAAACCCTTGCAGTTAGAATTATTTACACCACTAGCCCAAATAACAAAATGTGTTCACTATTAAAACCTAACACCAGGCCTGGATTTAGCATCACCAAACGGACAACTCCATATAACCAAATTTCCACTTTTGAGAGATTGTGGTGAGTTTTTCAATTGAGGGCTTAGTATAAATTCTAATCACCATTTTCGAAGCTTCCAGTCTCTGAGCTGATTCACCTTTTCACGCATGCTTGGCTGATGGCCTTAGCCATACACTTCTATCCTCCTCCATTGTCTTTAAAGAGATAAAATATGTTTATAGAGACAAGGCTACCATTAGTGAAACTGGTGCAACTGCACAGGTTAGGAAAAGAGAGTGAGAGGTGATGCTAAGTTGATGTACAGCTTGGTTTATCTCTCAGCTACCACCACCATAATTCCCTCTGCTTTGACTGTATTCTATTTCTTGCATGTTGCTGCTAAACCCGAGGACCATTTAGGACTACGAAAGGAATAATACGTATGCATGTATTTATGTATTATTGAAGATTATCGAGCCTTACGGCAACAGTTTCTAAAAATGACTGTGAAATTTATATCAAGGATTTGACTCTTTAATGGACTTAATTTAATAAGGCTTCTCTGATATCTCAGGTTTTAGTTTTGAAATACTTGGGTGTCTGTAGATCATACTCTTGAATTATTTTGTGCAGATATAGAAAGAATATGCCCAGTGACACTCCTGAGTGTTCCTCAGGAGTGGAACCATTTTAGAAAATGATAGGTTTGCACTTGAGAGCTTGAGGCCTTGGGACAATTTTTCCTGTGACCTCAGAAGAAGCGGCCCTTGTTCTCTTCTGTGTTTTGTATAAAATTAAGGACCCCTGTTTGCCTACAAGTCATTGATAGCCTTACTGCACTTTAGTAGAAGGGAATTCTTATAAGTGGAATTAGTTTCATTTGGTAGCAACGTGAAATGGGGACAAATCTTCTTGCTCTATCATATGTTTGTCCTAAGGTAAGTGGCTGGACTGCTGAGAATGTTGGGACAAATTTGTCCCCATGCTTAAGAAAAACACAATGACTTCCTGTTGGATCTGATACAGCCATGTCCTTTCCCACTCCTAAACCCAAATAGTACTTACATAGCCAAAATGAAACATTAGATTGTCTGTTCTTGCCAACAATAGTAGATAAATTGCCCAACTTTCCTGTTAGCTTTCAGTGGAGAGACCAGGATTCAAATCCTGGGGTATGTGGCTAAACTATGACAGAGGAGACACAGGTGAACAGGTGAAAATTATTTGAAGTCAACCTCTTGTCTCTAGAAGTTGCAAAAACTAAATGGGGACACCATCAGTAATGAAAGGGGCAGTTCAGTTTGTGCCCTGTGACATAGGAAGTATCCAGTATTTGTAAAAAAAAAAAAAAAAAAAAAAACATTTTTCTAGGAAGTTCTTGGAACCACAACGAAATGCCATTTTGTAAAACTTAGAAACAAGGAAGGGATACACATTTATAACTGTGCAGGCCTTGGCTGGGTTTGTCACTCACTACAGAGCAGGAATAGGAATGTGACCATTTTCTGCTGACTTTAGGGAGTGATAACCACAGAGAGTTTAGTAATAATAATTCACTATCAAAATGAGCTGGACAAAAGAGCACAGGGCTGCTCTTTTACATTAAATTATATTTATACATTACATCTATACATTAAATTGAATACCAGATAGATATTAAATCAAATACTTACCAGTCTCTTCTTTGTATTCAAACATCTTCCGGGTTGTTATTTGCAAAGTAAGACTTTTAAGTGGTTGCTGGGCTGGTCTTCTGAGGACTGGCCTGCCATCTTTATGCAGAGGGACTATGACACTCACTCGACGCTTGCCTTCCTTACCTGTAGCTGGCCCTTTCTTTCTTCAGTAAACGTCCCTCCTCTCATCAATCTGTCTGTGTTCCCAAACCATTTATCCAGCAATGACTTTGTTTGTTATTTTGTAGGGCACCTTCCATTTCACAGGTATTAATATTTTATGCAGTGATTATTATATTAGCAATAGTAGTTTTATAATGATTCCACTTTCAGGTCACTAGACATGTAAACATTCAATGCCTTTTAAATAACAATTTTTTACCTTTAAAACATCACCCTGTATATGTTTATAATGAAATACGAATGGACAGAAGTGTGAACTGAGCATAATCCTTATTACCTCTGACTATCACTATCGTGAAAAAGCTGAACTTTGGCTAGAAGATAAAGTACTGAACAGTAAGTCCTTCCCTTTGACAACTTACTGCTCGTCTGTGTTGGTTTAAGTCATAACACTGCTGGGCAATGAATGATTAAACGGAGTACACAGTGATCGCAATACAACCAGTGAAAGGCAAATCGTGTATTTTCCCATCAAAAACAATGCTTTAGACATTCTTCAGGTAAATTTTTACTGTTTTCTGTCTTAAATGAAATACTGGAATTTTTGGGTTTGCACCCAACCATCTATCCAGCTATGATCAAAGGAGAGATGTCTTCTTAATGGAAGAAGTGTAGTTGGAGAATAAACAAAACTTTTTTCAAGGAAGAGCTCTGGAAAGGTTGTGGCAGGCAGTTACTGAAGCATACCACAGAGCACTGAGCTCTCTCCTTTCTTAACCTGTGAGATGTGACCTGCTTTTTTTTTTTCCCCTTTCATTCAAGGTCATTGCTAAACTTACAGAAAACCAGAAAGGAAATAATACAAAGGTAGAAGAATAGACAAAGAAGAGTTTAGATGTCTTTTTAAATACCACACAGGTTTAAAATAACTTACAATGAAAGGGTCACTTAAGAAGGGCACTGCTTAAAATTTAAGCAGGCAGTAATGGAAAGCGACAGACCTCAAACAATTTAAATCTTCCATGGTTGAGTGAATTCACAGTGACAGCAAGACAAGGAAGTGCTAACTTACCTCTGCAGGACCTTGGCTATTGCCTCATAGGCTCTCCCCAGGCTCAGATCATCATCCAGGTCTGCAGAGATTTGACTGTAAGTGTTCAAGGCCTATCAGGGAGAGAAATACATATTGAACATATACAACGGCCAGATCCACTGATGTTTCATTTTCTAACAGAAAAGATTAAAATTAATGGTTGTTTTTAATGTCTCTATAAAATATTTTTTATTAAAAATTCATGTTGCCTTGTTTTATTTTTATCTGTAAGATAACTTGTTTCATGGCAATCTCTTTAAGCCATGACAGTGAGGTCTTACTTTTGTAAAAATAATTGTTTTCTTGTACCATCCCAAATCTCCCAATTTATAAAACTTAGGTGTGAATAAATAATTGAATGGTTTACAACATTATTTTAAAAGATGGGACTATTATCTAAGGTAATATAAGGCAGATTATAATATTCTACTCTGGTGGTTTAAATATCACTTTTCTTTCTATAAATAGCTATTTGAAAAGCATGAATTTGGGGACAGGCTATTTCTAAACCTGTCACTTCATTAGATGCATATCTCATGGTGGGTACACATGCATAGTATACATTAAAAATAGTTCTTACAAACATATTTCTTTGCCAGTGATCTCTTCAGTAATCAAAAGAGTATGGCTGCCACAACCAAACATATGATCTTAATTTAATTTAACACTGACATCATCCTTATGGTACAATTCCTTTTTTCCCCCTTATTTTCCCCCCTTTCAATGACCAAAAGGAAAAAATACATAAGACAAAAATCCTTTTTCTTTCTTCTTCCTTTATTGTGACTTGACCCAACCTATTACACACATGAGGACACAGGAAATCTCCAAAGACCTCTATGGAAATCCTTTTTGCACATTTTCTAAGAAAGAATTAGTGAAAGTCATTTGATGGTATTGGGGAGGCAGTGTGGGGGGGAGGGGCACGAATATGGCCTGTGCCCTAACTACTGCCTGATTCAGACTACCTCAAGGGTTTAAGTATCAAGGCAGGATTGATATTCACTTTTACTTTAAAGTTAGGAGTTGGGAAATGATTTCCATGAAGCCATTGTGATGCCTCATAAAACTGGGTTTCCTGTGGTTTGTAAGTGACTGTTTGACATCATGCCGATGCCAAAACTAACTCATGGGTACATATTAACCCCAGGTTTCAGTTCCTGCAACACCTGCAAAATTCAAAAATTTCATTTTTTATCTTAAAAAATTTAGTTTTAGTTGACAAATAACGCTTGCGTCTATTTATAGGATCCAATGCGAGATTTTGGTCCATGTTTCTGCCGTAGGAAGATTCAATCAAGGTAACTACCTTACCTAGCACCTTTCTATCTTGTCATTTTTAATGTTAAGAGTCTTAAAAATCTATTCTTTTAGTAATTGTGAAATACACAATGCATGGTGATTAACCTTGATTCTTATTTTTAAGCCTCTTAATCCTTGTATAAACTTGAGAATATTCTTTTCATTGTTTTATGTACCTAACAGTACCCAGATTCAGTTGATGTGACTTTACCTTTCTAAGGTAAGAGGCAGAACCCCTGAGTTTTTTGAATTTATAAGACACCTTATTGAATCCTAGTATCAAAATATTTAGGAAGTCAGTTTCTAGTATCTTTTTTTTTGGCATATATATTTTTAGATACATTCTAGAACCTAAAAGTAAGGGTTGAATATTATATCTGTGTCAAAAATAGTTCATTTTTTCCCAATAGATACAGTTACTGTGTCCTAGATACTGTGTTAGGCCTTAGAAATCTCACATAGATGAGAACATGCTACAAACCCTCAAGGCATCATTTGCAGCCCAGGGTACAGACTTTGGACTGATGCAATTATTTGAATTAGCAAAGACAGGTTTCTCCAGGGCATAAACTGTGCTCACACTTCGCCACCCTCCCATGCCCCTGGACACTGTAAAAGCATGTGGTAACGTTTAGAGGTGCCACATTTTATCCAAGAGGTGTGACTCATTAGTCTATGGATAAGAGTGGAGGTGTCCAAGTGTTGATGGCCCCTACTCCTCATCAGCGTGTCATGCTTCCAGGGAGCAACAAGGACAAAAAGCAGCCCAGGACTTTTGCCTGTGGCCTCAGACTTGGTTCTACAGTGCTTCTGTATGGAGACAGATGTGATCTACTGGGATGAACACTAACCTTAGAATCACAAGACTTGGATTCAGGTCCTACATTTTCCATTCCCAATGTTGACATTTGGGCTAGGAAAGCTTTTTGTGTTTAGTTTCTTCTTAATTAAATAAGAAAACCTATTTGAGAGTTGTGTAGCTACTATAAGATTATATGATTATAAGATTACTATAAGTTTATATGATTATCCTATAATCTGAGGATTATACTCCTTAGAGTTCTGTCCTAAGGGACAGGAATTCTTTGGGAGTCTATTCATCAGCCACCAGTGAACAGCCCCTGGTAAGAGTTTCCCTCCTTGAAATAAACACAGCTCATTTTGCTGGGTGCGGTTGCTCATGTACACAATTCCAGCTACCTTGGAAGCAGAGATCAGTAAAGTCAGGGTTTGAGGTCAGCCCGGGGCAAGTTAAGTAGACCAATAAGGTGGGCATCTGGTATGCACCTGTCATCCCAGCCACGCAGAAGGATTGAGGTTCAGGTTGACCTGGTCAAAAATGCAAAAATGTGATACCCTATTTGAAAATAACTAAAGCAAAGAGGGCTTTAGTTCAAGTAGTAGAGTGGCAAAGTTCCTGCCTAGTAAGTGTGAAGCCCTGAGTTCAAACCCCACTATTGCCAAAACCAACTAACCTAACAAAAAAATATAACTCATTTTATTTATGGCTTGACAGAGTTTGGGTATTTCCTTAAACAATTGATTTAAATTCAGGAAATATATAGGCATTTGAAAGAATATTGTTCATTACAATGGCCAAACAAGGAAACAGTCAGTTACATGAAATCCATACTGGGGGTCTAGTGGAGGAGTTGGTCTAAAAGATCAATCACTATGTATACTGGTGAAATCATAGAAAGAGTCCATGACAAAACCCAGGAGATGGTGATGTGTGTGGCTCAGGCTAAAGGAAGTAGGCCGGTCTCATGAAAATAAAAACGAAACCATTAAATAAATGGAAAAAATAATATGAGATTAGGGATTTTGTAGAGATTATGAATTTTGTAGATTGGATTGAAAAGTGCCAAGAAGATTAGTAAAGTGCACCTCTGGGTGTGTCTGTGAGGATGTTTCCAGAGACAATTAACTCAGAGTAAGACCTGCTCAGAGCATAAGAAGCATCCTGTGGGCTGGGGGCCCAGATGGAATAAATAGAGGAAAAGAGAAGGCCTGTGAGTTGAGGCATTCTCTCTCTACTTCCTGGCCACCATGAGGCAAGCTGCTCTGCTTCACCATGTCTCCTTCCCTCAACCCCCATAATTCACTGAAATAGCTGAAACCATCAACCAAACGAATCTTTCCTGCCTTAAGTTGTTAATGTCAGGTATTTTGTCACAGCAAGAAAAGTCTGACTAACACAGCTACCTTACATGCTTTTTAAAGTAGATAAGGTATAATCTATAAATTAATAGATATTGAACAACTTAAATCAATTTTAAAAATTAGACAAACAGTGCAACCATATTTCCAAGAAACACTTCAAAGGAGAAAATGCAATGTGAAAATCTGATGGATACTTCATCAATAGGTTGGAAGCAAATTTATAATTGGGATGGTTCAAATCTATCATTGCAAATAAAGGAGAGGTGAGAATAACTTTAAAGTTCACATTGAATGAATTTAATGAATGTTCGTCAAAAGAAAGAGGAAAGTACTGGTTCATGCTACTATGTAAACCCCAATGTATAACAAAACTGTGAATGGGGACAAGGTTATCAGAGTTGGAAAAGTTCAACTGCTCCAATACTTTCAATGAGTGGTAGAGATAAAGTTTTGAAAACTATTTCACTAGACTTTGAAGACAACAGACTCTTTTCTCACCAAAATGAAATTGATAAAATTAGAAAAAAAATTTCAAATAAAATCCAAGTTCTCAAAATGAGATAATAGTCGTGGTCACCTAAGGACAAAATTAATAGAATACTTAAAAAAAAATGAGTACACGTAAAAGAGTAACACTGGCAACATGCTACAAACTCTTTGAAGAATCGTGTGGTGCAAAATCAAATTTTAAAGCTTGTCAATTTCTTTCATGCAATAGCCTTCAAGTGAACATCAGACTTAAGTCAAGATTGTCACCTGCCCAGCAAAATGAGAAGGATATCTATCAAACCTTTATCTGTCTACCTATTTATCTATCACCTATCCCTTACCTACCTATCTATGAGAGAAACAAGACAGTAGCAAAGTATCCTTGCCATCCAGAAGACTAACAAGTTACCCAAGAATGTAAAATTTTTGTATCTGAGCTCTGGAATCTTTAAGGAGACAAGAGAAAGATATTTTCATATTTAATAATATTAAGGACCTTACTGTTTTCTTTCCTTTCAGTGATTAAGACTACCAGTTCTGAAGGTGTTACAAAACAGTTCTGAAGGTGCAATGGACTATTTGGTATTTGTCTCTCTTCCTACCTTCTTCTGTTTTTCTTATTTCTGACTCCACTGTGATTGCTCTCCTATGGGATCTTTATTTTAGATGACATTAAAAAGAAAAAATTTCAGCAATCATGTTCCTAAACTTCCTATTCACATTACCTTAAACCACTATCGTGAATATCACTTCAGATATAACTTTTCCAAATTGGGTGGAAAACTCCTCTGTCCATCCAGTCACTCTACAAAAATGCTGCACAAACTCATTTATTTTAAAGACTTCAAGATAATTGTAGAGTCACATGCAGTTGTGGGAAGTAATGTGGAGCGATTCTACACACTCTTCACCCAGTTTTCCCCAGCGATGGCTTCTTACATAATTACAGTACAATGTCACAGTCAGGGAATTGGCATTGAGACAATCCATCAGCCTTTCCCAAATTGTATCAGTTTTACATGCACTTGTGTGCTTTGTGCTATTTTGTCACACATATATAGTCACGTAACCACCACCGTAATCAAGATACAGAAAAACCTATAGCTATAAGGCTTCT